CGTCCCTGCGCTGTGTCTGGAACTTCTTTATTGAATCTGAGATTAGCCATGTACTGTAAGAATACTGATGGTCAGTGCTAGCATGCATTCCTGTGATAATGTAGGGGTGTATGAATTAATTCAGCAAGAGAAAAATTGACACAATCCTATCTGTAGGGTTTTGGCCAATGCAACAACCTGTGATGTTTTTCTTTGAGGGGTGCAGACATGCTGTGACTGCATATTTCTTAGTCTCATGTGTTTGTTTTTAGGGACTCTTTATTTCCTTCTAAAAGTTTAAAAGGATCCTCTATCTTCAGATGAAACAATCAGGTCAGAATGCACTTTTAGCACCACAGCACCCCCATCTCCTTCTGTAGTGCAAGGTAGTATAGCTCTGGACTACTCTCAAAATGTGTTTGCCAAGAAAAGACCTCCAGCACACTTTTTAACATGTTGCTGCACACTTTAAATTGAGACCATGCTTGGAAACACATTTGCCGTCATTTGCAGCAATTTGGATTTTCTCTCTTAATGCTAGCAGAACAGGAAGGAGTCCAGGCTTTCTCTAGGAGAGGAGATTCCTGTAAACTTCCGGCATCACTTCTTTGTACAGGTTCTTCTACTCAGAGCTCTGTGTCTAACAATCTGCCTCCGTGAAGTCCACACTCACATCCTTGAATGTAACAGGTTTTGCACGACAGGCACTATGGTCAGTTTTTCAGATATTTGCTCATTACAGGGACAGCCGTTGCCGAGTGGACTCCTTATAGCCTTTTGAGCTGAATTTGTTGTCTTAATTTTTAATTTTCACTGTAGAGGCAGTGGTTGTGTGCTGTTGAGTTGCCTGCAACTCATAGTGACCCTAAGTATAGCACCTCTGAAGCCTGCCCTGTCCTGAGACATTCTTACTGACTCCGACACACCTACCCCCATTGTCCTAGTTCCTGTATCAGTCCATCTCATCTGGGGTTGTCTTCTCCTGCACTGTCCCTCTACCCTTCCGAGCATGATGTCTTTCTCCAAGGACTTGTCCCTCCTGGCCATGTGCCCAAAGTATGTGAGATGGAGCTTCTGAATCCTTCCTTCCAAGGAGAAACTTGGTTTCACTCTCTCCAAGACAGACCTATTTTCTTGGTTTCTCCAGCACCACAACTCAAAGGCATCTATCGGTTCTCTGTCATCCTTGGTCATTGTCCAGCTCTGTGATGCATAGCAAGTAATTGCAAAGACCATGGTCTGGATCAGACACACCTTAGTCCCTAGATTGTTGCTTCTCAGTACTCTAGAGATGTCCTTGACAGCAGATTTACCTAATGCAACTTGTCTTATTTCCTGACTGGTGGTGCCAAGAATGTTGATTGTGGAGCTGAACAAGCTGTAATTGTTAACAACCTCAATCTCTTCTCCATCTGTCATGGTGCTGCCACTTGGCCCAGGTGGGACAGTCTTTGTCTTCATGATGTTGAGCTTCAATCTGTGTTGAAGGTAGAGTCCTTAACCTTCTACAGCAAGCACTTCAGTTCCTCCTCAGTTTCATCAAGCAAGGTTGTGTCATCTGCATAACATAGATTGTTGATGAGTCCTCCAGTCCTGATGCCACATTCCTCCTCATAAAGCCCAGCTTCCTGAATTATCTGTTCTGCATATAGATTGAAAAGGTATCAACTAACCTTTTAGTTAGGAACTGAGCCCCTTAACCATAAGAAAGGTATTTCAGTGTGTGTGTGTGTGTGTGTGTGTATATATATATATATAATTTTAACTTTGAGGAAAGTTTACAGAGAAAATTGATTTTGTCATCTAACAATTCATACCAATTTGTTTTATGACATTAATTATAATCCCCACATGTATCAACATTCTCCTTACTTCCTCCATGTAATTCTTATTTCCATTCAACCTTCTGTCCTGTCCTTTCCTGCTTTCTGAGTTTTCTTTCCTGGCAAATGGTATCCTTTGTGCTTGTGTGCTTGGTTGAGAATGAGTACTTAGTACCTCTCTGTTTTCATATTGTAGGTCAGCCGGTTGTTTTGTAGAAAGCTGAGCCACGGGGATAGTTTAATTCTAGGTTTGAAGGATGTCTACAGGCTATAGTCTTGGGAATTCCTCAAAAAACACTACTGTCGAGTCAGAACCGGCTTACATCTTAACTCCCTATTGGGATCCCAAGGCTGTAAAACACATGGGAGGAGAGTGTCCATCTCTCTCCCTGGTGCATTAAAACTGCAAGAGCAGCTCAGCCTGTGGTTTAGTGGAGCCACTCCCTACTATAACACCCGAGCTCCTTCTTGGGGGTTTCCATCAGCCTCCATTAGGTCAAACATGGCCATTTTTGGTACAAGTTTTATTTCACATATTCTGTACTCTTAAGACTGTCTTGCTGTGGTCTCATTTAGTGTGACAGGTGTGGTAGCTGGGTATTTCAGTGGAGTTTTAAATTCAGTTCTCTGGTTAAGAGAGTAGGGTAGAACATCTTTTTTTAAGTTTAAGGAGAGTGTGTGTGTGGGGGGTGTGTGTGTGTGTTTATGGTCTGTTTATAACATTTGTACATTTTTCTTCTAGACTTTTAAGGACTTTTCCCACCATTTCCCCCTCTTCACAAAAAAGTAAGATAAAAAGAGTTTTGTTTGGTATACTATATTAAGAGTTTTGGTTTTCCTTGTTTTTTAGAGTTCTTTAAATATTGATAATCTTAGTCCTTTGTGATGTATGTTACAATTTTATTTTTATGTAGTTAAATTTTTCCATTTTAAAGGCTTGTGTTCAGATTTTGAATAATAGAAATACCTTTCCTGTACCTAGAGGAATTTACTTGCATGTTTTCCTATTTTATATTTAGATTCTTAGAATTTATTTTGGTGTGTAATGTAAGATACATTTCTTTCCCCCCCCCCCACATGACTACCCATTTATTTAGTCTATCTTTGCTAACTAGTTAGTCTATCAGTGGCTTGATATTTATCTTTAAATAAATTTACCTTTATCGGAAACTAATTTTCCATTAGAATGTGCATCTGTTTTTTTTGTACTTTGTTTTCTATTCTGTGCTGACAACATTTGAATAGTACTTTTGAGAAAAGTACTTTTGAGAGAATTTTAATCGCCATTATTTGTGATTTTAGAGACAGATACTGTGAAATGCTCCAGTTTTTTTTTTTTACTAGATTCAAATCTTTAATCTATTTTTCCACCCCCTAGTCCCTTCATACTTTTTTTTCCACTCTTAAATGATACGGCTAGATTTAGCAACTGATGTAAGGTAATGCCTGTGGGTCATATGGACCAACTATTAATCACCTTAAGAAAATAAATGAAGAGAACTTTTATCTAAAAAGGTAATTTGTACTGTGCAGTGGGGTGTATCCTCAGCCACTTGAGTGTCTGTTTAGTATGGGACAGTTTTTAGGTATGGACATAATATTTCAAAGTATCTTTTTAAAAAAAGTATCTTTTAAGGTTGTTGTTGTTGTTGCTAAGTCCTGTTGAGTCGCTTGTGACTCATAGTGACCCTTTGTACAACACATGAACCCTGCTCTATCCTGTGCCAACCTCATTGTCTCTGACACACCCACTCCCATTACCCCAGTTTTTTTTCTTTTCCCTTCTAT